TGTAGAAACGTGATTCATAACAGCTTTTTCGGACATACCTTGGGTTGCAATGTAGGTTCTTTTACCGGTAGGATTCTATTGTCAAAATTTGAAAAAGAAATATAATATGATTTATGAAAAATTTTACTATTGGTTTATGCATTTAACGGAATATGTAAATAATAGTAGCTGGTAAAAATATGTACAGCGAACTTGCTTATAACAGGTATAAGGAAATCCGTCATTAAAAAAATAAATACTGGTTAGGAGGAAGTTATTTCACGGTCTTCTCTAACGTAATTTAAACACATTGTAAATAGATGTAAGGAAATAAATATGAAATTGTAAATTGCTATAATTTTAATGTAGGAGAACAAAAAATGTAACAAAAAATAATATTCTACAATAAGTATTACGTAAAATGTCACACAATGCGTTACTAGTACTGAAAAATAACTGCACGATTTCACGTTTTCTTTACAATATTTTAGTGGAAAAAAGTATAACAAAAATTTTGTTTTACCTTAATTTATATCAATCATGTAATATGATAACATACATGAATGTTATTATGTTCCCCAAACGAAGTTTGGGAACATATTGGTTTTACTCTGTTTCTTACTATTATTATTATTCTTCCTGGGTACATTTTTGTCCGCGAGTGTTCTCGGAAACCACTCGTCCAATTGATTTGAAATCTTTTTAGGGTTAATAGATATCTTATGTAGATGTGCGGAAAGAAGGTAATTTTGCGCGCACATTCATGCACGTGCAGGCGCGTGCATTGAGTTAAATGACCAATATACTTAGTAAAGCTAACACTTTAATATTCTTTGATGAAATGCTTTGAAACTCAAAACTTAAAGATATATTAGTAGTGTAGACAAGATGACATGGTCAAGTTAGCATGATCTCATGCGCATGCACGTGCGCTTCGCTCTGATTGGCTGAAACAAAAATCTCAATATCTTCCTTGTGTTTTGATAAAATACTTTGAAATTTAAGATATAGGTATATATTATAAGGTTCTACAATATATTTTATATGCAAATTCTTGAAAACATGCGCATACACGTGTGCTGCAATTTGATTTGCTGAAACTTGAAATGGCTAAAACTTCTTTAGTTTTCAAGAAAACAGGGTGAAATTTAGAATATAGATAGGTATAATGAGTTCCTCTTCTTTACCAGCTTTTATCAAATTGCATGCAAGGACATGCACGTGCGCTGAAATCTGATTGGCTAATACCTTATCGCTTGTATCTCTTTTACTATTCACTATATTCTTTGAAATTTAAGAAAACGGTATATATTACTGTACATGTATAAGGCACTACAAGAATATATATGTGAGAAATCTAGAAAATAAGTACAAGTACGTGTGCTGAAATCTTATTGGATGAGGTTACTATTACATACATTTATTATTTTCTTATGCATGTATATGGTAATTTTCGAAATCATGTGCATGCACGTGTACTTAAATCTGATTTGCATATGCTCATTGTGCTATATGTGCATTGTTATTTCCCCCAAATACTTTTGAAAATAAGTTGTAAAAGTCTATAAAACAAAGATTCTTCTTAAATGAAGCCTATAGGTAATGGGGCCCTGAAGGGAGTAAGGGGAGCGTTTGGGGAACATCTGTAACGGTCTCCGTTACAATTAAAACTAGTTGATATTTAAGATTTAAATTAATTTCCCTTATACAACACAACGCATTTCTTATGGGACATATCTATGCGTATGTAAAAAAAAATGTATATGCATGTGAATTGATGAAATGCTCTCTTACCTCCATATAATTTGCGTTGATGTAGTCGCCTTCTTGTGTGGAGGCACTTTTCAAAACAACTCGGGAGTGATCGTCTGGTTTATATAAATATATTTTCAAGACGTTTCAAGACACAAAAAGATCCAATTCTAAACTAATTAGTAATTTTATTTCATGTACTCACAAGGAAAAGTAGTTGTGTATCTATTTTTCGGTTTGTTGTCTGGCTTCTTAGCTTCTTCACATGGAAAAAGTTCGCCTCTTGGAATTTCCTGTCAATTCAAGAAATAATTTTAAAAATTACTCTGCGAGATTCTCTTTATAAAATAAAGATACAGAAGACTGCATTAAAAAACCATTCATCATATACATCTGAATTTATATTACATACGCCAAGAAGTTTGTCGAATAGTCAAAAACTATTTTTAACGAGGTTCGCTCCTGAGCTTTTGAGCAGATTTATATCTTAACCTATATTTCAAAAATTCTGCATAAAGTTTTAATTCTTACAATAAATTTGGATTCTACAATGCCATTTAAACTATATTCAGTTAAAACTCCATGATTAAATTCCATACCAAAAGCATTAAGTGAGGAACTATATTTTGTGGCGGAGTGTTTTTTAGAAGAAAATGATCATTTTTTCTCTTCCGAAGTATTTAAAGCATGTTAAGTTTGGATTCCTATTTTTCCATGCAGCCTGCACACAGAGTTGTTTTGTACAGTGAACTGTTTTATACTGGTCCTAAATTATATATCAAATAAACTGTCATGAATTCTATCATCATATTTCTTAAAATATAGCAAATATATTGTGAAAATCAAGAAAAAATATCCCTATTTTAAGCTTAAAATTAGCACTATTTTAGTAATATCTAAAAATTAACATCACAGACCCCCACTTTTTTTTTCTTTTTGAATATATAAGATACTTTTAACCATTCTTCTTAAATTCAGTAAAATGTCATTACTTTCATATTAGTTTTTTGCTTAATGTTTTTAATGTCAGAAAAATGAATTGTTTTGAGTGCAAAAAGGTCAAATAATTGAACATGTGGAGTAATTTGAAATTTTTTTCGTTGTCACAAATTTTAATGTGTCTATTCAAGATGAAATAAGGCTGTGTTTGCTCCCATAATTTATTTGAATAAAAAATATTGGAGGAAAACTTTAAAAAATGATTTATGTGTAAGACATATTTACAGTGCAAAAAGGTCAAACTAAATGCTCTGTAGCGCCAAAAGAAGCGCATTGACCCCCATTTTTTGTTTTGATTTTTAACTAAGCTATGTGTCTAAATTCTGAAAATATACTTGATAAAAAAAATTCTTATTACTTTTGATGGCAGTATCCAACCTCCTTAAGTAGAATTCGTTATTCTTTATGCATTTAAATTTCACGGATTATAATTGTACCAGTTCATACATTATCATGACATTACAAAGTATATCTAATTGTAATACATGGTACTCATGTTTGAATCCTGCGTTCTCAGCTGCAGACATTTTGGCTATAACTGTATGTAAATTCCTAACAGGTATGGTTTTGTTAGTTGGACGGCCTTTTTTCGCTGTGTCGTGAATAACATCCGCTCGGTTCTGGACATTAGGTACATGAACGTTGCTGTTTTCTAAAGTAAGTTCATAACAAATGTTATCAACCGATCTATTAGATTTGGGACTGCAAAAAACCCTCAACATTTATGAAAAGAAAAAAAAAAACACTTTTCTCAAGGACAATATATTTATGGAATAAAAATACGAATTGATGTTGTACTGGGAATAAAAGAGCTTTGAACTGGAAAATGTGAAAATGCGTTTTATATTCAACTGATAATAAGACATATGTGTGTACGTTTTGTTGACGGGTTTCTTGGTATTAATTCTATTGTAGAACTTGTTTCCTTCAGTGTAATCGTCATCCTTTTGGTGGATTTTATATATGCTTTCCTTTTTAACCTTTAAAATATTCATTCATAAAAGCAGTGTAAAATATTCCCACTAAGAATCAAGGTAATCATTTAATAACAGACATATAGAAAACAAAAAAATGGCATGAAGCCTGTTTCTTTTTAAATATTAAAAAAGCAAGACTATAAGTAATAAGAGAATCATCAAAATTTAGTAAAAATCAAGTTTGGTTGGATTTTTAATACAAGAATTCATCAAAGAATAAAAAAATCTAGTTAAAAAAGATATTTATTTAAGAAATTTAACAGTATTTTATTTGTCTACCTTACGAAAATGAAAGCCAATGCAAATATGATAATAGCAGCAGCGCATGCACTTAAGACTCCAACCAAAGTTAAGGTATTCACGGATTGAATTGATGACACATGAGGATCTGTCTTTTCTTCTTGAAAAAAAGAAAATACAAAGTCTGACATTGACATCATTATGATTAATGGAATGAATTTAAACTTTATTAAAATTAGAATTAATTCTCTCTGAATGTGCTTTTTGATTATTTCAATAATAAAAAAAAACTGGTATGGTACAATTGTTTTTGACACATTATTTATGTTTCCTTATTACTCCCTTTACTTATTTATACATGTTTTTTTTTTTTTTTTTTTTTTTTGAGAGAAAAAAAAAATGAATAGGTTAGATGTTGTTCGTAAAATTGCTTTTTAAAATCGCATTGAAAAAAATTAAGTTTGATAATGAAAATTAAATATAATTATAACTAAGAAAAACAAACAAGTCTTATCTTTCTTTTTTTTTATTGTCTTCCCTTTTTACTCAAATGAATGTAATTTTTTTTTTTAAATTCACTTGAATATTTTAGTAGTAACAGCGTACTTAACTTCTATATGTGAAAGCAATTATTTTATTCATGATTCAAAAGAAAAAGTATTTAACAGTATATCCTTTAGAGTATTTTTAAAATTATAATTGATTATAAATATTCAATAATAATTCTCAAAACAACGCCTGAGTACAAATGTTGTTATAGATTTCCTGCGGTAAGATTAATTCTCAAATGAACAAATAAATAAAGGTCCAGGAAAGGTCCACCAACCTTCTAAGCACGATCCGAATACATGGTGACATGTTTGGTTGCATTTTGGTGGACAAAGATAAGAGCAATTTTCACCAAAATGCCCATCTTGACATACTGAAAGAGAAAGCATGGTAAACACAGTCAATAACAAACATTTATCAATAACATTCTTCTTTCTTAACGTTTTTTTAAACAATGAACTTTGTAAAGAATTTGCATGAATTAAAATTAAGGACATATTAAAATCATTTTATTTTCTTACAGTCGAAACATCTCATCCCGGTGAAACCTGTTAAACATCCTTCGACACAGGTCCCAGTTATATGGTCACATATTCCACTGATACAATTTATACTACAATGTTCCTCGCAATTTTGTCCGAAGGATCCCTTTGGACAATCTGTTAATTTAAAAAAAAGAAAAAGAATAACACATGTTAAGCAAATATGAAAAAGAGCATGACAAAAATACTTACATTTATTACAAAGTTCTCCAGCATATCCAGGATTACAGCTCAGTTCACAAAATCCGTTTTCTTTATTACAGGTGGTGCCATTCAGACAGTGTCCACTGCAGTTATGAATACAGTCAGGACCATAGGTTCCATTATTACATTCTATGATGGGTTTGTTCAGACATTAATTTAAATGTTCCGAATTTTTCTGTCATATTGATAATTTACGGTATGTAGAAAAGCATTTTTTTTTTGAAAGCTCTATGACTTGCGTAAGGAATTAGTATTTTAAGTTCACTTTTCCCCAGCTCTTTTGTACAGTTTTATTTAAAGTTGAAACGATCAATTTATTTCAGTATGGATTCAAACAAGAAATAAGATTCATGTAAAATTTATGTGCAAAGTATATATCAATACATCTATAATTATGTTCATAAGCTATATGTTTTCCTTACTAGTATCCTTGAAAATAAACCAAAGTACTAATATATTGCTGAAGTTAAAAGATAATTTAAAAAAAAACTTATTTCAAGTTCCAATTTTATAGTAAATTATAACATCATTTCCAAGACAAAAAAGTTACTGAAAAGGGAATATTTTTTTTAGTAAAATGAGTGGTGGAGAATTTTTTCCAATAATATTACGTTGGTCACACTGCTTTCCTATCCATCCAGCTGCACAACCTCCATCACAATTTCCGGTCACGTGGTTACATGAAATGTTTCCTTTACAATATCCTGGGCAATGTCTTTTACAATCCACGCCGTGCCGTCCCCATGCACATTCTGTTTTTTAGAATATTTTTTTTTATTAATTATACATCCACTGAATATTATTTCTATTATTTCTTATAAAAACCATTGCCTTTATCAGTCAGTAAATGTCACTTAGCAAGCAACCATCATAGATTTCTTGAGCAATGGCTCTTCCATCAAATGTATATACAATTACATACAGATATATAATACAATATTTAACATATTTAATTTTACTTTAAATCTTTTTTTTACAGATATACATGTAAATATAGACAATGAAATGTCTTTGTCTGTCAGTGTGGAATTAATGTCGCTGCCATTGCAGAAAAAGTTACGTAAGCGGGTTATGCATTTTTTGCAACACCTGCGACATTTATTTCCGTACTTACAACCAAATATTTTATTGTTTTATTAATATACACCAATTTTGCAATGCAATAGTATACGTGTTCGATATCGCAATTTTCATACCGTCTTTGCATGTCTGTCCGACATATCCGGGAACACATCCCAGACAAGTTCCGTTGACAATGTTACATCTCTGTTCTTGACAATTGATTGGACAAGGTATACTACAGTTACTTCCATAAACTCCCGATGATGAGCAACCTGATTAAAGTTAAAGGTTGACAAATATTTGACAAATATTTAAATTACTGAAGATCTATTATCTTATAATTCCTTTCCGTATTATTTGAAGAAATGAAATAATTTCTTGAACCTGTTTCATAAATAAGAGCCGCAAAAATTTAATTAGATCCTATTATTTTGGAGATTGTAAGAGACAAATTAACGATGGTACTTATTTTTTGAGTTTCCTTTTAACTCAAGATGTCATAATCTTTACAAAAAACCTGCTTTTTTTTTACATGTAAGTCTAATAAGAGAACAAATGAGGAAGTCCTGCAATATAACATCTGATGATTGATTCATTCCCTCTTTTCCGATAACGTTAAGAAATATAAAAGGTCCAAATTTGTAAAATTAATGAATTAATTAATGAAACAATAATATTAAAAGGTTGATCCCTATATATTTTGATTATTTTACTCATTTTAATTTTAATGCACACCGGAAATTAAAGAGTCGGATAACAAACCCAAACAATGTAAATACATAACTATATGCATGGCCGTAGGAACCGGGGGAACACGGGGGGGGGGGGGGGGGGCTTTTTTGCTGGTCAAGGAATTTTTGAAAGTTGATAGTGCCCCTACCCCCAATGAAAATGTATGGTTATTACCCCCCCCCCCCAACTGATATTGCTGTCTACAGGCCTGATATGGAATATGAAGTTGTTGATATTGAAATTCTTATACCTTTTAACCACTTAAACTTCTTTGCCACGCATGGTCACCGATTTTGATGAAACTTTGCCCATTATTAAAACTTGACACCAGAAACATAATATCAAATAAAATTTCGTTGCTATGTGTCTTGGTTGCCATGGTAACAGCCAGAAAAGTTGAAAAAATTGAGATTTTCAGCTACTTTAAATCTTTATTAAGCCTTGATAAAGACTAAGAAAAACAAACACACTATTCTCCCAAAATCATGACACCTTGTTGCCACTTATGCTATAAAAAAACTATTTAGAATTTATCTCTAAGTAAGTGGTAACCATGGGTACATTTGGAATACATTTTAGATGCTGAAAAATGCTGAAAAACGCTCAATATTCACAAATGATAGATGTTACATGATCAAACTCAATCAAAAACCTAAGAAAAACAATGAAAAATATTTACCTTATGTAATTAGGTATTACCAATATTATTCTAAAAATAACTTTCATGGTTGCCATGGTAACACAGTGTCACCATGCAAAGTCTGTTGCTATGATTCGATTAATGCTACTATTTTGAGGGAAAACAATAAAATTCATGACTGGCAAATATTATACAGTTATGGAATGTATGGGAAATAGCAAATTTATGGTTCCCCGAGGGAGGAAACTATTTCCCGAGGCGGCGAAGCCGCCGAGGGAAATAGTTTCCTGCCGAGGGGAGCCATAAATTTGATATTTCCCGAGTACCCATTTCATAGCTGTTTTATTATACCGAAACAAACAAAGGAGATTTATTAACAAGAGACTTAGACATTTTTAAAACAATATAGAGGCATTTATATAAATAATCAAAAATGCATGTGATTCCAATTTTGTTAAATATATAATGCATCAATACGAAAAAAATATTAATTTCACTAACATTTCGAAGGATTACCGTTGTCCTCTTTTTGCTTAGAAATTCCAGTATGATTTTGACATGGCATGTTAAAATGTTTTGACGTCATAGTTACATTGCTAATAACATTACGTCAAGGACTCGAGATTCCTTGAACGCTCCGCCCACTGTTCATTTTAATTGGTTAAAATTAATAATAAATATTCATGAGGGAGTAGTCCCAGGGAGTAGCTCTGATTTTCCAGGGAGTAGTCCTCAGATGGGAGAAATAGTATCTTCTCTGGGAAATAGACATTTTTATGGTATTAATTTTATATAGAGTAATAAGAGTAGAGGTATAATAAACATCCTTAGGATCTTGCAACATCGACAACATAAGAATAATTAGGATTAATTGTTACTTCGCAGTGTAACCATGGAAACAACGTACTTGTTGTTTAAAGTGATTTTTTTTTTTTTTGCTGCTTTAGGAATTTACTAACCTTTTAATCAAGAAACATATTATTTGACTCACCTTGAATAGTACTTATCTGGTAGAATTAAAGTTGAATATCATATATTGATAAAGTTTATTGAAAAATACAACACTGTTGCTATGGTTACCAAGAAGGGAAAATGTTCGATTTTGTTAATTCTATGTCAATATTAGACCCTATGTGCCAGCTTTTTGCATCCAGTTAGAGATTGGGTGGTAGTCAAAATTGAAAGTCAGGTTAGTTGATCACATATATCAATCATAAAAGTTTTGGGAATCTACATACAAGGGTACGTATCCAAGGAAACAGAGTATTTTTCAGATTTTTATGCATGTTTTTTCGCCTTATTTCCATAGCAACGCACTATTTAAAGAATTGAAATTGAATTCTTTGAAATGTGAAAATTAGGGTAACACCAAGGCCTTTAATTATATAGAAATATGCTTTTTAAAAAGATAGGACAAGATTAAAACACTAAGAGAGTAAATTTAAAATCCCTTCGTGGTATTAAAACCATGGCAACCATTGCCAACCTGTAAGAAGTATCATATTTTGTCCTTGGTATATGTTACAAGGATGTCTTGTCTATTATTTGCTTGCATTCAACCTATAATTGTTTTTATTCTTGAGTGTATGACTTTATAAAATTAAAGGAACAAAATTATCACTTTTGAATACTTTGTTTCCATAGTAACGTATGTTATAGTTGATTTACCAAACATGTTTATCATGCATTTAAGACATCAGGCCTTCAACTTTCAGAAACAGTCATTGCCACTTGTTTGCTTTGCTGCAAACGTTAACTGTGGGACTCTCAACATGTTGAAAAATGCCATTTTTCAAACTTTACGACATGTTGCTATGGTAACCATGACACGAAGCAAACAATTTTTGCCTGATTTGAATTTACGGTATCAAAGACTTTTATCATAGAGAGTTTGGAGAAATTCTGAGACTATGCGTGCCACAGCTCCTATATAAAATTCAAGTCATTACAGAGAATGGCTCTCTGTAGTCCAAAATATCTTACATTTTCCTGGCTTTTTTACGATTTTGATATTTTTCGTGCCAGGAAAACGTCAGAACCGGCGCCATTACGAAAACTGGAAAATCGCCGCCTTTAACTGGAGGCGGCAATCTCGGGTTGATTTTCAATACTTGTGAACCGAATTAAATGCTGAATTCACAACTTATCAATAGAACAATGCCTTTAGTACTCATCAACATCGTTTTTATGGTTTGTTTTATATAAAATATATAGTCCGGTGAAAAACATTTTATCAGACCGTTGAGTTTGGTTTTCAATTCGTGCATTTTAAAATCTTGCAAGACCTGTATCGAAATGTAGAGTGATATTTTCTTTTTGTCGATATTGGTGAGTATTAGAAGCATTGTGCTGTTGATAGATTGTAAGTTCGGCATTTAATTCAGTTCGCAAGTATCGAAAATCAGCTCCGGTTGGAGACGGCGAAATTTCCAGTTTTCGTAATGGCGCCAGTTCTGACGTTTTCCTGGCACGTAAAATATCAAAATCATAAAAAAAGCCTTGAAAACGTAAGATATTTCGGACTACATGCCCTGGAATTATTTGAAATTTTGCCGTCTTTCGATAAACTTCCTACATTGACATAATACACTTTAAAATTATGTTAAATTATATAATAAAGCGCACAACCACCTCTCAGCACTTTTTAAACATGGTAGGAATAATATCTACATGTGTAAATTATAATAATTTATAGTGAAGTGCGATATCGTTCAACGTTTGAGATTTTGGAGGGGCTATACACATATTCTTTTACGTTAGTGCATAAGTGTGTTGTACTGATGCTGTATATGAGATCTATACATTTTCAATTTAATTAGACTCGAAAAAATTGATGAATACATTCAAGAATATGTCTTCATTTTTGTCAATTCATGCTTGTTTTATTTTATTTTTCATATTGACATGCTTCAATAATAGCTTGATCTACGGCTCAAGTATAGAGAAACAGCTATCAAATTAGTCCGTGACGTCAACGCAGTCATTGCAGCGGTATCAAAAGTGGCTTAAATTCTACATTCAAATAGTGTTTTTATGGCAAAATGAGTTACACATAGATTTATGTTAAGATTATTTTTTAAAGAAAAGACTGTATTTGAGTGTGTATGAAAAAGAACATTAGTATTTATTCGCCAAGATTCACTTGTATAGTTTTAACGTGACTTCATTTAATCATTTTTCTCTGCATATCACAGGATGAACCTACATCATTCTGTCAATTGAGTGGTACCTGAGAGGTCTTCAATGGTCACTAGACCTCTGTCATTCAGTTACCTCTCATTACATCTGAGGGACCCATCAACTTTTATTTAAAGTGCCGAGCGCTGGGTCCAAAACAGTTGCTACCTATTTTTTTTATCGAGTTAGGTCAGTCGCGGCCGTGGTTCGAACACCTTCGGATTACGGAGCTATCAAGACGAAGGACACGGCTGGAGAGCACCCCTTCACTTTTCCTGTCCGATAGTTTACAAGCGGCAAAAACAAATAAATCAGAGAAGGAAGGGAATCCATAGAAAATGATGAAAGACCCGGAAGACTAAGAAATATGACGGCACTATTGTTGACGTCGTGCGCGACGTAGTAAATGATGCTTTATGATGTATATAAGGTCTATTACGACGTCTTAAAATAAAGACAGTTGAAAAACAAAAATTAAAAACACGTACTTAAAAGAAAAATTAAAAGTTATGAGCACAGATAGAACATTAAATATCTTAGACATATCTCGTAATTATAACGTACTTTTAAGAAAATCGTTTTTGACAGATTCATAAAACACGAAGGGTGTTCAAAGAGTTCACCATAAACAGTATCAAACTTTGTTATCATACAACAATTCAGGATTAGCATATATCAGATGTAATTTTTAGTATTGTTGTTGAGCAAAGTTTCATTCCATTT